AACATCCATACCTGGTAAATGGCTACTGTTACATTACTATGTAGCAGAACCAGCAAAGTGACCATTGAGCAATTGGACTAATGCACAACAAAATGCATTGCATGGGTCCTGGTGCATATTGTATCAATCTTGGTCTGCATCAGGTCCCAATGCACATAAGGGACTCTTGCTGGCATCTTGTGACATGTCTTTCCAATTCACTAACAAGGTTTCTTAGCATTTTTGCTATGTAGTTAAGTAAATGTTAAGTGATTTAACAGATATGGTGATATAGGATTCTGGCAAATAGCTGTGTTTTACCGACAGTGAACATTTTGGCTAGTTCCAGTATAATACAAACAGACTGCCAAGTTGAGATAATTTTTTTTTTTTTTTGGAAAATACCAAGTTAATTTAGTAGTAGGAATGAAAAGTCTTTGATAATACTAGGAGTTCTCACAAAGGACTTCAGGATGCTGAAAAAGGCATGTGGATCTCCAAAATAAAATCGGTTTGTACAGGAATAAAATCTGTAACTTTTAGAATTCAAACACAGCTTTATTACCCTGGAAAATAAGTATGCAAAGGGAAGTCTACACAAGCTCATGCTACCAACTTCTTTTAGTTAGTTTCAAAGGTACTACAAGATCCCTTTGTATGGACTTTCAGAGATCTCCCCCTGCTTCTGGATAGACTCTCGCACAACCCTATTTCATACATTATCCCAGACCTATTATAAACTGACCTCTAATTTTAAATGTGTACCAGATTTTTCAAATTGAGACCTCATGCCCAAGCTGATGATACCATATAAGATAGTCAGTTATTGGAGGTTTGGGTTACAGCTCCCAGAATCTCTTGCTAGCATAGTATGCTGACTGGGGTGTTCCTAGAACTGTTACTGAAAAACAAACAAACCCAAAATTATAGTCCAACCCCCACTTGCCAGGCTTTCTGGGAACTCTAGTACTAAAATTAACTTTCTCAAGCACTGACACACACACACACACACACACACACCCTAAACCTTCTCCCTAGAAGAAGGTGAAATTTGTGAGTTAGAACTATCTGAGAAACTGCTTCTATTTCGAAAGCAGTAAACGCCTGCTAACATGGAATCAGCGAAGTGTAGTGGTTTGAGCAGTGGACTGACTCTGGAGACTTTATTCTTAATCCTCACTCAGCCATGGAAATCCACTGAGTGATCTTGGGCAGGTCACACTCTCTCAGCATTAAAGGAAGGCAAAGGCAAACCTGCTTTGAGCAAATCATGCCAAGAAAACCAAGATAGGTCCAATTTAGGGTCACTTTAAGTTGGAAATCACTTGAAGCCACTCAACAACAACAAACATGCCATGGCCAAGTTGCTCATTTGCCTTTTATGGTACTCTTTATGGCAAGAAAACCAGCAATCCACCTTTCATGGAATAATTAATTGGGGAACTATATATAGATTTGTAGGGGTAGGGTAGTGAAAACAAAAGGCTTAATTGACAATTTGGATTTGCATGTCTCATGCAGAGCTATTATGTTTTATAAAAACCTATCTCTAGGACACACATTTTAAAAAATGAGAAAATAACCATATTCTCTGCATGATGTTTACCTTGAACTGTGGTGTCTGCAAAAACTCGGTTCTCTGTGATTCTGCACACTGGAGCCATCATTAACAGAGGCTTTAATGGAAGATATTTGCCTGAGCACCAAAGTCATTTACAGTTACATAGGACTGCTATTTATGACAAGAACTATAATAGCATCTTTGAGCTTTTAAATTAAAAATTAATTAGGAGATTTAAGAACAAACTCATTGGGGGGTTCCTGTACAATGGCATGTTTACAGAACTAGGCCTGGCTTTTTTTTTTGTGGTTGTTGTTTCTGCTAAGTGTTTCAATCAATTCCATGTCTATTAAATATAATTATGCATGATGCTTCCTCAAAATTATAATGTACCATTTAAAGAGCAGCTGGGAAAAGTCTGCATTTTTTACTTTGCAATGAGGGTAGCCATTAAAATGCAAATAGGTGTAAAGAGCCATTTGTGGATGAGGAAAAACCTCCGCGTAAACATTTTTACCCATTAATCTTGCATTTACAATACTTTTCCGTTAGCTGCTATTTATTATCTTGGCTGTTCCAGCATTGTAGTGAAGTGTAGCAGCAGAATCACTGAAGAATATAAAAATGCATTTTGATTTAAAATATAAGCATGCCAGAGTCAAGCTGAAATAACACAGCTTTCTCAGTTATTTTCAGGCATTCTCTTCTTCTTTTGGAGGGATGGAAGCAGGGTGAGACTCACTTGTTGTTGTTTTTTACTTACCTCTGGCCATCATTTGCCATCAGTCATGTAGATCTGATTGGCTGCACAGAACTGTGCTATCAGCCCTGATTGGGAGGAGTTGCACATGTGACTAATCCAAGAAGGAAGAATAAGATGTAGAGAAATATTGATGTAGAAGCAGCCCAGGATGCTGAAGGAATAAAAACAGGGTGAATATTCACAAAGGACTGTTTTAGATTTGTTAGCTGACTTGAGCCCCTGTGTTGGGAGGAAGATGGGATGATAATAATAATAATAATAATAATAATAATAATAATAATAATAATAATAATAATAAATGGGGCACATTCACACAACAGACTCTTCTCTGTCACTTGAGACAGAGAAATGTATTTGAAACATGGGAAAGTCAGATCTGTACTTAATTTTAGTGGATGTATCACAGTGCTGGCTCATGTCCAGTCTACTGAGAAATGTGGGCTGCATCTACACTGCAGAATTTGTGAGATATTTAGCCTTCTCTCTCAGAGAGATCTGGTGCCACAGAAAACTACAAATTGCAGGATTCTATAAGATTCTATAGGATAGATCCATGACAGTTAAAGTGGTGTCAAACAGCATTAATTCTGCAGTGTGGGAACAACCTAAGATCTTTTTTGTGCATATTTTGGTCTATGTCATGAAACAGATTATGTGGAACAAGCATCATTTCACAGAAGTGTTTGCATGCATCCT